TATATTCACAAAAGATTGATAATGATTTTTTTAAAAGTGTTTTATACCTGGAGAGAAAAATAATGTTCAACAGAAGTCCCCAAAGTTTACCAACTTTACAGGAATTCCATAGAATTATAAGAATATAAGAATGGCCATACTGGGTCAGACCAATGGTCCATCTAGCCCAGTATCCTGTCTTCCAACAGTGGCCAGTGCCAGATGCTTCAGAGGGAATGAACAGAATAGGACAAATATAGAATGATCCAACCCTGTTGTCCAGTCCCAGCTACTGGCAGACAGTTACTGTAATCAAAGATTGTAAGTCATGTGAGCAATAGCTTTTTACATTCATGGTTTAATCTCTCTTATTAGGTAGATTGGTTTTCTTTATTTATGAGAATTGGTGGAATTTTTAAATCTGTGTGGGTATTTTTAAACCACCTGTCACTGTAGTAGCCAATCACTAGCAATTCAGGGTAGTAACAAACTGAAAACTATAAGGATTAATTGTGGGGGGAAAAAGTTGTTAGTTTTCAGAGATCATCTCTAGGATCAGCATCTTGCAAGTTGCCCTTATGATAGAGGTCCATTCTTATTTTCTCTTTTGGTATCTTGCATGATTGTAATCCTGGAACTGTTTTCTAAACAATAAATTCCAATTCTCATACAGTGAATTGAATCAATGCATACTTCAGTATCATTTCAAAGGAATTTTAATAGAATTTTGTGGGTTTTCTTTTTAACATTCTATGTATTTGGGTCCAGTGTGATGCTGTTAGAAAAACCTGTGGCATTTCTGTATTTGAAACATGACAGTTGGTGCCAAAGAGTAATTAACTATCTAAGATTTTAATGCTGTCATAGAGATTATCATCTAGAAGAATGAATTTTGCCATTCTATATAGAGTATATATTATATGAATCAGAGGTTGTTTCCTCCATTGACTGATGTATCCAAGAAAGTCTTCCATATGGATCTGATCAGAAGCTCACTGAAGTCAATGAGGGTCTTTCCATTGACTTCAGTGGGCTTTGATTCATGCCCTATATTTGGGTCAGTATCTGCATGTATGTCTAGGTCCTTTTTGCACCAATAGATGTTCTTTTAAATGAACTCAGACTGACAGATGTTCATCTTGGGCAGGTTAGGGGACATAAAAAAGACTTATTTTCAGTCCCACTGTAGTCAATTAACTAAGGAAGCATAAAGCAGATTGTCAAATGGTTTTTGTTTGTGGGGCAGTGTTTCTAAGTGGTCGGGGCATAGGCACTTGGACCTGCAGAAGGGGGCTTTTTGTAGAGGAGCCCAGGCGCCCCCACTCCACTGGGCTCCAGCCCAGGGCCCTGATAGAGTGACAAAAGGGTCTGACACCCAGGAGTTCCTTAAGGCTGCCTTTGTTGTGCCACTTCCCACCACCAAGCCATTGTCCAAAGCTTGCAATCTGTACCAGAAAAGAATGGAGGGGATCAGCTCACCCCTTGGCACTTCTTTGTGGCTGGGCATGCTGTGCTCTCTACACCTAGGGGTGGGGGTTGCATCCTCTCAGGCCTTGGCCTTCCAACCAGGTCAGTTCCAACTTTGTCCCCTTCAGGGGTAATCCATAAACAAAACATGGGGAAACAACACAAATAACCTGGGTTAATATGTGGAAAGGGAAAATGCCTTCCTCTTTGGGTCTATCAGAAGCAGGTCCTACCTTCCTCCCAAGAGGGACCTTCAGATAGTTGCTGATGGGGAAGATCTTGCTCTCCCTCAGGCTTTTCCTCAGCAGCTACAAGGTAAAGGTCCTATCTTTTCCCTGGCCTTCCCACAAGTGAGCTGTTCTACTCCCTTTTATTCCTCCTCTTATCCGTACATCTCTTGCAGGTGTGGCAGGGCAGTGCTGGCTGAGCCCAGAGCAGCTCCTTAACCCGTTGTCATCCAGGCTGGTGTTTGTGTACCCCATCACACTAATAAACAAAATCTACTTATTGTTTCATTTTGAATACTGAGCATTGGTTGTTGGAAAAAATAAAAAGTGATATTTTAAGACAGCCTGACCATGAAGGTTAATATCTGAAAATATGACCCGGCAGTGAAAGTTAGAATACACATCATAAATCTATAAATTACATAGGGAGGTTGTGGAATCTCTGTAATTGGAGGTTTTAAATAACGGATTAGAAAAATATCTGTCAGGGATGGTCCAGATAGTATGTAATCCTGTCTCTGTTCAGGTGACTGGACTAGATGACCATTTGAGTCCCTTCTGGTCCTACATTTTTATGATTCTATAAATTAAGTTTAATTTTTATGTGAATTTCACTGCTAGGACAGGTGTTTTTCATTTAAATATGTCTGCTCCACTCAGAAAGAACCGTTTTAAGTAAGTTCACAAAGAAATGCCTTCTTGAATGTTTGTGGTACAGAAATTGCATTTTACTTTGTTTTATAAAGCAGTCTACATTTTTGTATTCTCTTCTTCATATATAAAAATGTCTCATAATACCATTGCAGCTTGATAATAGATTTCATGCTGGTATTAGACAAACTCATAAATAAAACATTAGTAGATTTTATGCTGTAGATCAGAGGTGGGCAAACTACAGCCTGCAGGCCACATCCAGCCCGTGGGAACGTCCTGCCCGCCCCCTGGGGGAGGGTAGCCCCCGGCCCCTCCCCCGCTGTTCCCTCTTCCCCGCAGCCACACCAGCAGCACAACTTGCACCCACCCACCTCCCATAAGCCTGTCCTGCCGCTCTGAGGGGCATGGAAAGGGGGTGGGGGTGTTGAATAAAGGGCAGGAGGTCCCGGGGGGGGCAGATGGGGTGGAAGTTGGGGGGGGAGGGCTGTCAGGAGACAGGGAGCAGGGGGGGTTGGATGGGGGTGGGGTCCTGGGGAGGCAGTTAGGGCTGGGGGTCCTGGGAGGGGGCGGTCAGAGGATGTCATAAATATAAAGGGAAGGGTAATCACCTTTCTGTATACAGTGCTGTAAAATCTCTCCTGGCCAGAGGCAACATCCTGTTTCCTGTAAAGGGTTAAGAAGCTCAGCTAACCTGGCTGGCACCTGACCCAAAGGACCAATAGGGGACAAGATACTTTCAAATCTTGGGGAGGGGAAGGCTTTTGTTTATGCTCTTCATTTACGTGGTAGTTCTCTCTTGGGACTGAGAGAGGCCGGACAGAAATCCATCTTCTCTAACCCATCCTAATCCAAGTCTCCAATATTGCAACCAGTATAGGTAAGACAGGCAAGGCGGATTAGTTTCTTTTGTTTTATGTGAATTTTTCCTGTGTTAAGAGGGAGGTTTATTCCTGATTTCTGTAACTTTAAGGTTTTGCCCAGAGGGGAATCCTCTGTGTTTTGAATCTGAATACCCTGTAAAGTATTTTCAATCCTGATTTTACAGAAATGATTTGTACCTTTCTTTTTTAATAAAATCCTTCTTTTAAGAACCTGACTGATTTTTTCCATTGTTCCAAGATCCAGGGGTTTGGGTCTTTGATGATTTTGTAACCAATTGGTTAGGATATTATTCTCAAGCCTCCCCAGGAAAGGGGGTGTGTAGGGCTTGGGGGGATATTTTGGGGGAAGACGTCTCCAAGTGGTCTCTTTCCCTGATTCTTTGTTTAAAACGCTTGGTGGTGGCAGCGCACTGTTCAAGGACAAGGCAAAGTTTGTACTTTAGGGAAGTTTTTAACCTAAACTGGAAAGAATAAGCTTAGGGGGTCTTTCATGCGGGTCCCCACATCTGTACCCTAGAGTTCAGAGTGGGGAAGGAACCCTGACAGGGGACAAGGAGTGGAGGGGGTTGGATGGGTCGGGCGGACCTGTCAGGGAGCAGGGGTGTGGATAGGGGGCGGGGCAGTCAGGGAACAGGGAGATGGGGGGGTTGGATGGGGGGCGCTCCTGGGAAGGGGCGGTCAGGTGTTCTGAGGGGAGCAGACGGGGGCAGGAAGTGGGATAGGCCCTCCATACTGTTTCACAACCCCAATGTGGCCTTCAGGCCAAAAAGTTTGCCCACCCCTGCTGTAGAGTTATATATTTAGGACTATCCATGCTTAAAGGTAAGCTTGTGCTTATGTGTTTGCAAGGTGAGGGCTTTATAGTCAGTATATTTTTAACTAGTACATTGTTATAAATTTATTTCATGTATTTGTTTTGGTCTTATGAAATGTTATTTTTTACTGATACTGTACATGTGATTTCAAGTTACTATAATCGTCACTTAAACAGCATGTGCTTAGGTTTACTGATTTACTAGCCAGTTGTCTTGACAAATACACGTGGCATCAATATTTTCCATTAATAACTTTTAGATTTTCATCACAGCTCAGACTTTTTAAAAGGCAAACCACGTCTTGTGCATGCTTTACTTGGTTTCTTGAAAAACATAGATGAAAGGATTATAATAAGAAACAGTGATGACAGATTATATAAGCAGACATAAAGTACTTGGTCACTTATTGTCAGCATTCCCTGTCTCCTTGAAAAATGTTTTAAATTACAAGAAAATTGGAATAAAGCAGCAATTTTTGCTCTCATCTTCTGACCTTAAAACTGTATGGGGTCTAAATTGGTTGTATAGATATGAGCATTTATAGTTGCTCTCTTTCACATAGATTTATATTCAAATTAAAGTTAGCATATCCACATTTTGTTAAATTCTACATATGTATTTAAATAAATACGCATTAAGTAATTTTGCCATGGCTATGTTCATAGGTTTTGTAAGAATAATTATTATCTGGGTGGCATAACCCAACTTATTAATATAATTTTTATTTTATTTTGTGTACATAAGTTTGAGGAAAAATAATAGAAAATTATTAATTTATCAGATATATTTCATGTTACTCGTAGTGCCCTTCATTGCTGCTGGTATTAAGGAACTTACCTGTATGTAGTTTAACCAGTTCTAGCTTTTCCACTGGTCATATACGCAAAATTCATGTCTAGTTAAGTGTTTCATCAACTCCTTTTTCTTGTGGTACTACGAGGCTAAGGTTGCAATAATAAGATTATTTTCTCTTATAGCATCAGAGACTTCTTGATATGCTGGATACAGAGAAAGAAGTGTTAGCACAAAAAGTAGAAGAAGCTTTGATGCAACAATCACAGAAACATAAGGTAATGCTTTGAGTACATCAAGTGCTTGATCCTACACTACAGAAGTCAATAGGAGCTTTGCTATTTACTTTAATGGGAGTGGGATCAGGTTCTAAATATTTTGAGTGTTTGAACCAATTTCTACCCACTCCTCATATGCGGTGTTACAACTTTATTTTACATATTGGCAGGAAGCACTGGAAAAATGTTTGGAGGAACAACAGAATAGAAGTAAAGAGGCTTTGGCTGCTGCTGCTAAGGTAATTCTAATTAAATAGTAGATATACAACATAAATACCACGTGTTTCGTTTTAGGAGTGTCATGTTCAGGAATTGGGTTCTGATTCTAAGACTAGATCCATGAAAGTCCAGGTCCACTAAATATGTATGATTTAACTACTTTTACAAAGGGACATAATTATACAAATCATCAGGACTCCTATGAGATTAAGAGGCTATCATGGAAATCTGCTAACCACTGATGCAAAATATTATTTCTTATATTCTACTAATGAAAATAGCACCAGTATTCATTTGCCTTTTTCATGATGTTGAGTCATTGGGTTATTACAGTATAGTTATTCGTGGTATCTAAACAAAACAATCTGTTTTCATAATGTCCAGCGGCCGCACTGGTGTTTTGTTTTTTATTTCAAGAACAGATACCTGAGTCGTCATTGCATTTGTCAAGAACTTAACATTGTGTTTTATTTAATATTTTACAACAGAAATGTCATTTCCAGAAGAAAAACCTAAGTATGTGTGAGTTAATAGTCTAATATGTATCCTATATCCTTAGTAGAAAATTTTAAAAGTAGTGACAAAATATTTCATTCAATTAAATTTAATCTATTTAAACTGTCCTATGTGATTCAATGTATATTGTTTTTAATAAAAAGTTTACATTTCACCTTTTCTGTCTGATTTGTTTAGTGCTTTTCATTCATGAATGCCTTGGACACAGTAAAATTATCAGATAAGGGAATTAGGTGATAATTTCTAGGCTATATTTGCATATCAAATCTTGGTATATAATCCAGCACAAAAGTCAGGTATCTTTATGGACAAAATAATTGCCTATCTTTTAAGACTCTGGGAAAATCTGTAACACCATATGTCAAGAAACAGACACAATTGATTTGGCCCCAGTCTATTACAGGATCAAAAACACCTGGTTTTCTCTGGTGATCCACATATGTAATTTGCCTGCTGGTTGATAGTGGTTACCTGTGGCTAGTTGTCAACTCTCTTGAATCTCAAGGCTGTGGAACTTAATATTTGGGTCTGGAAGGTTAATAAGACTCTCTGGAACACCTGTGCCTTTATTCCACTCTTAGGCCACTTCTTTTCCTTCATACTTATAGGGAAAGATATATTCATTTTATCTTTAAATTATTTTAAAATTAATAATTGGAAAAGACTGAAGTGCTATATTGAACCACAGAACAAAAGTTCATATGCAAGCTTTTTCCACATTGCCCTACTCATATGCCTCAACCCTGGCCTGGAGACACCGCCTCTGGGGTTGAGAGGCTCGTTTAGTCCCCATTCTTCGAGTAGTAGTATCACTGTGGGTGCTCCACTGTAGGTGTGTGTCCATCCCTCTGCTGCTGGTTGGAGAAGTTCGGTAGCAGAGTCCGTCCAGCCTGTGCATGCGCTGTTCCCCGGGCTCTGCCATGAGATTAGCCAGGGTTCATTGGCAAACCCTCCTCAGTCTCCATTGCTCCTGGCTAGAGACAATGCTTTAGCTGTTCGTTAGCAGATTGGTAACCTCTTTAGAATTGTTAACTGTTAGCTACATTTGAAGCTTCTTTTTCTTTTCTTCATTTATCTTTTATTTGGCTGCTGCCTTAAAAAAAAAAAAAGGGGGGGGGGGAAGGGGGTAGGACTTGGTTCTTTCTTCATCCCCCTGTCAGGGGACCCCCCTGGACAGAGCCTGGCTCTCTGGGCTTCAAGAAGTGTCTCGGTTGCAAGGAATCTATCCCAGTGACTGATGGACACTCAGTGTTACTGTTGCCTGGGAGAGAAACACATCCAACAGAAATGTGGTTTGGTCCAGCAACTGAAGCCCAGATCCAGAAAAGAAAGAGAACTGAGGCTCAAAGTCCTACTCATCGAGGCAGCCCTTCAGTGGTCCCCCAGTCAGTGAGAAATCTCATTACAACCGTCTACTTCAAAGGGAGGTGAGCCCAAGTAGATGTCCATGAGCCACTAATGTTAGGCCTCTAAGAAAAGGGCCATCGGTTCCCACAATGAGCCCTGATTGAGCTGAAAATGATCTCTGAGTCACACCAGAAGCTAGTGGACATTTTACATTCTTCTGCCTCTTCCAGAGTAGGGTTTCCCTAGGGGTGCCCCTGGAACTGGGGTACCACAGAGCCCCCCCTTGACCCACCAGACTGGGCTCCCTTTACACTGTACTGCTTTGGCCAGCCTGCCATGCCCTCTCCCAGATTCCAGCATACGTACAGGTAGGACACACCCAGTTGCAGTACATACAGACCGCTGTGATCAGCTCTGCATGAGGAGGCTACAGCTAAGGAACTGCTCAGCTGCTCAAGTGCACCCCCACTCTGGAGTGTAAACCCAAAATTATACTGTCTTATGCTGCACAGAGATCTGTACACCGTAAGCTCATGAAATTTGCTCCCTCCCTCAATGTGGAGAGGAAATATACAACAGCTTTTTGCTTCAAGTTATGACTCCCACACAGTGGTTTGTGATAAATCAAAACCAAATATATTAACTACAAAAGATAGGCTTTTAAGTGAATTATAAGGGATACAAACAGATCAAAGCAGATTATCTAGCAAATAGAAACACAATCTATGCTTAATATACTAAAGAGATTGGATATAAGTAGCATATTCTCACCCTAAATGATTCAAGCACGCCTCAGAGATTCTTAAGGGGCCAGATGCACTTGCTTACAACTTAAAAACCCCAAGTATTCCTTTCACAGACTAAAATCCTGTTTAGCCTGGGTCCAACACTTCCTCCCGCAGTTCAGTCTTTGTTCCTCAGATGTTTCCCAGAGTCTCTTTGGGTGGGGAGTTAGTGAAGAACCACAATGATGTCACTCTCCTGTCTTAAATAGCTTTTGCATATGGCAGGAGCCCTTTGTCTCCAAACTTCGTTCTCACTCCAGTCAATGGAAAAACTTTGGTATTCCAAGATGGAGTCCAGTACCAGGTGACTTGGTCACATGACCCAATAGTGTCATGGCAGCCCTGAGTCAGAGGCTGTTTACTGTGTCCTCAGGAAGATCCTCAGGTGGGAGATAAGATCTTCTCAGGCCTATTGTTCTCCCTAATGGTTCATTGGGTTGAATGGGCCCTTCCCAGCCAGCCATCTAGACTGACTTTTGCCTAGTGGGCGTTCCCCAGGTGTAAATACAATTGTAATACAGATACATTGTCAATATTCTTAACTTCAGATACAAAAAGTATACATGCATACAAATAGGATAATCATATTCACTAAATCATAACCCTTCCAATGATATCTCACATGACCTATCTTGCATAAAATACATCAGAATTATGCCATAATCATATCTCATATATATAATATCACTGTTAAGACTATGGGGTGCAGTGTCACACTCCCTATTAGCAAGGCACTCTTGAACCCAGCCAAAATCATATGACAGATCCCCACGTCGGTCCCACCAACATGTAAGCAGGCTAAGAAAAAAGTATTGCATGCTGGTGAAAGACATGGAGTTTCTCTTCTCCCACTCGCCTCCCACTTGATCATAGTGGATGCAGTCAACTCAAAGGGCCTCCAACACCATTTTAAATCCACCCCCTATGACTGAAACTGGAAGTGACGGGATCTTTTTGGCAGAAAAACATACTCCTTAGCTGCTCTCCAGTTCTGTATTGCAAACTGTCAAGCCTTACTGGTGAAATACGATTATCAGAATTACTTAAAACTGAACTCCTTTATTGAGCAACTCCCAGATTCTCGTAAGGAACAATTGAAGGCCAATGTCCATGAAATCCAACTGGTGGCTAAAACATCTCTCCAGTCTGCACTTGATGCAGCTGATACAGCGGCATGTTTCATCTTGACTGCCATCATGATGAAATGAGATTCTTGGTTTCACCTATCCAGCTTCTCAAGTGAGGGTCAAAGAACTGTAGAGGCCCTTCCTTTTGAAGGGACAAAGCTGTTTGTGGAAAAGACTGACACCTCTCTCCACACCTTAAAAGACTCCAGGGCTACTCTTCAATCCTTCAGGATCTTCACATTGGATATAAGAGAAAGTATAGCCTTCAGCCATCATTTAAACCCCACTCATCACAATATCTATCTCAGAGGTCATATGAACCTCCGAGGAAGAAGTCCAGGTTCCCTAGGTGGAAATCATTGTGTTTGCAACCCATTTCCTCTCAACCTTCTACCTCAAAAGCAACAGTTTTGACGGATTGGTCAAAGTGCCCATAGAACATTCTCCACAACATCACCTGATCCTGGAAAACCTCACCCCTCCCTTTGCATGCTGTCTCACCCCATTTTGCAGCACCTGAGAGTAGATAAGCTTCGGCAAATGGTGGTTGTTGGAGATCATTCGAGATGGGTGCTCCGTCCATTTCACCCTCCCCAAACACCTTTCCCCGTCCTCCTTCAGAGACTCTTCTCACAAGAACCTATTACGAGAGGAGCTGTAGAGCCAGTGCCCACACACCGAAGAGGCACATTTACTTTTGCTACTTCCTGATTCCTAAGAAAAAAGGAGGTTGGAGACCCATACTAGATCTCAGAGTACTCAACAAATTTGTCAAGGCTCAGAAATTCAAGCTGGTCACATTAGCAATAATGATTCCAGCATTAGAAAAAGGAGACTGGTTCTCAGTCCTCGACCTTCAGGATGCATATTTCCACATCTCAATCATACCGAGTCACAGATGGTACCTCAGGTTTATGCTAGACCGAGGCCACTACTGGCACTCCCTTTTGGCCTCTCATTGGTCCCCAGAATATTCTCCATGGTTCTTTCAATAGTGGTGGCCCATTTACACTCACAGGGTCGTAATTTTTCCTGACCTAACTGATTGTCTTCTCAAAGTACTTTCCTTTGCCAACACCCATACCACACCGGATCTATTCCGGAATCTGGGCCTTCAAATCAATGCACAAAAATCAACATTAACATTTGTACAGAGGCTAGAATTCATAGGAGCCGACCTTGACTCTTTCATGCGAGGCGTTCCTCCCACATCACAGATTCCTCAGCCTCTCCATGCTTCTAGAGACAGTGCAATCCAGACCACAGATTTCAACCAGACACTGCCTCCAACTTTTGGGGCATATGGCCGTGGGCACATTGGTTATCGTTCATGCCAGACTGCACATGAGATACCTTCAAGCATGGTTCGGTTCCGTTTACAGACCAGACAGAGACAACATAAACAAACTACTATTGATGCCCACCAAGATCAAACAATCCTTGGATTGGTGGAAAGACCCAATAAACAACTGCATGGGAATCCTCTTTGTTGGGCTTTCCCCATCGTTACTCCTGACCATCAGTGCATCCGTCATAGGATGGGGCATACATCTCAACGATCTCACACTGCAGGACAAATGGTCTCCATCAGAGACGTGCCTTCACATCAATCTACTCGAACTCTGAGTGGTCAGAAATGTGTGCTCACTTCCTCCTGCTGATCAAAGGCTCACACACAAGTCATGATGGACAATATGGTCTGCATATATTACATAAACCGACAAGGAGGCAACTGATCACCCTTTCCATGCTTGGAAGCATTAAAGCTATGGAGCTGGTGCAGTTCCCACAATATCACAATATCAGCAGCCTACGTACCGGGAGCACACAACACGACAGTGGATAGTCTTAGCCACAAACTGCCACATGACCACCAATGGGAGATTTGATGATACTCCATGACATATTCTGACAATGGGGGCCACCAACAATAAACTTGTTAGCCAGTTACCAGAACAAAAAATGTCTACAGTACTGCTCCAGAGCAGAGATCGGATGCACATCATGAAAGACTCTCTCTTCGTCTCGTGGGACAAGGGCTTTCTTTACACCTTTCCCCCATTCCCTCTATTACTGAAAGCTCTCTTGAAAATAGAGAAAAAGCAAACATCATACTGATCGCTCTCTCCTGTCCCAGACAGACACGGTATCCTTACCTGTCACAGCTGGCACTATGTCCGCCAATGACTCTTCCAATCACTCCTTATCTTCTATCACAGCACAAGAGGCGCATTTTCCATCCCAACCTGAGAATACTGAAGATCTGAGGACATTCAGAAAGTGTTACTACATAGCAGAAAAGAAGCTACCTGTTGTACCTACCTACAGACGGGGACTAGATTTTGAATCCGGTGCCAGCCCTAAGGTGTCATGCTAGATATAGCCCCTCTACCTATAATCCTAGATTATCTGTTGACTCTCAAGAAATCAGGACAATCTATTTACTTGCTAAAAGTAGACTGAGCATCAGTTGCAACCTTCTACCAGCAGATAGAAGGGTACTCAGTTTTTCCCACCTGACTACAAAGAGGTTTCTCAAAGGCATAGTGAATGTGTTTCCTCAATCCAGACATCCTACCCCCACAATGGGATCTCAACCTAGTGTTAAAAGGACTGACCAGACTTCCATTTGAACCCATGGCCTCTTGTTCTTTAACGCACCTTTCCATGAAGACAGCATTCCTAATCGCCATCACCTCTGCAAGAACGAAAGAGGAGATAGCGGCTCTGACAGAGCATTGCTCCTTTACGGTGTTCTTCCCTGGACAAAGTCACACTTAGACTACATCCAAAGTTCACTCCCAAGGTGACTTCCATATTTCACATGAATCAACTCATTTACTTTCTGACCATTTATCCCAAACTTCATCAGGATAATAGGGAAGCCATCCTCCATACACTGGACGTGAGGACAGGACAAGAATTTTTAGAAAATCTGAGACTCTTCCTCTTCCTCTCCATTGCAGATAGGTTAAAAGGCACATTGATTTCAGCTTAAAGACTCTCCAAATGCGTATGTAACTGTATCAAACTCCATTATCCAATTCATAGCACAAATTCCCATCTCCAATATGCACTCATTCTATGAGATTGGTCTCCTCGGCAATCACCTTCTCCAAGGGTATCCCTATATCAGAAATCTACAGAGCAGCTACCTAGGCATCTGCGCATACCTTCACAGAACACTGTGCCATCCTGGGGGACTCTACCATAGATGACAGTTTCAGTACTATCATCTATCACAGACTCAATTCCGAAGCCCCAACCTCCAGCGAGGGGCACTGCTCAGGAGTCACCTACAGCGGAACACCTATAGGGACACAACTCAAAGACGAGGAAGTTACTCACCTTGTGCAGTAATGATGGTTCTTCAAGATGTGTTTCACTATGGGTGCTCCTCCACTCCTCTGTTTCAGAGTTTCTTGTCATTGACTCTGCAGTAGAGAAGGAACTGAGGACGTCGGCCAGCCTCATGGCTGAGCACAGGGAGCAGCACGTGCAGGCTGAACAGACACTGCTACCGAAGTTCTCCAATCAGCAATTCATTTTTTATTAACTAACAAATAGCCATGGTAATATTTTTGGGGGCATTATGGTCCTAGGCCCAGATGTGCACTAGTGATATAGAAGTGAAAATGTCTGCTGCTGTTATATCGCATAAGCCTGCCAATCCTTCTAAATGAAGTGATTCAGGCATTCAGTATTTTTTGTCATTCACTTTTGCTTTATTTGTTTCAAAGATTGAAAAAGAAGTAATGCAAGAGGCCATTTTAAAAGCAGTTGAAGAGGAAAGGAGAAACATGGAGAAAATTCATGCAGAAGAAAGAGAAATATGGCAGGCCGAATGTTCCAAAGACAAAGAAAAGATTGCTCAGGCTGTTCAGGAGGCTGTGCAAGAGCAAAGAAAAACCAGTCAAGTGAGTACATTTTACCTTTGCATAGAGCTGTTTGTGTTTTTTTATTGTTTCAAAAGCCTGGTTTAAACTCCTCTGAATGACTACATAATGTTTAGTTAGAGCCTTTAAAAATGTAAACATTCAGTTTTGATCAAAACATGTATACGGTTCTAGGCACTTTAACAGCATATTAATTACCATAAATATGTCTGTCTTTTGTATTCTCAGGACATGAAGTATCTTGTATTTATACTTAGAATTCAACATCAGATTTGTCTTTCTTTTACAATTGGTTAGAATTCCAGTGTCTCATTATTTATACACTAATTATTCTAAGATACTATATAGAATGAAGACCGAGAAAGCAATGGAGATTGGATGAGAAAACCAGTGACTAGTGAGACTTTTCTAGAGAAATTCTTAAGCGATATTAATGCTCCAATGAGGGTTGAGTATGTGTTACTTATACAAGCTGAAACAGAGTCTTTCCCAACCATGCTTTAAAGGAGATAATAGCAACTACAAATTAAATATGTTGCAATAATGGTTATACATTCTTCCGAAAACCATGTTGTCTCGTCCATTATAACATCCTCTTTTTTCAGTAAGCAGCCAAGAAATCCACTGGATTGTTGGCATCCTATTTTGATATTGGTCCAAAATGTCCAAAGAATGGCTTTGAGCAAAATGAATTTAATTCAGATGTTGAATTTCTAACTTTTTACCATGATTTTGTAAACCCTACATAAGCAAAAACAAAAACATTATCATTTAAAGCGTAACAGACTTTAGCAAGTCACAGCAAGTCTACAGAACATCTGTTAAGAAACAGGATGCATTTTCCCTCCATACATTCTCCTCTTTCAGTTTAACTGGATACTGTATTCTTCTTCATTTCCTACCCTAAAGCAGTGCAAAATTATGTGTTATGCTATTAAATAAACTGGTAAATAAAGTGATTCCTGTATTATGTGTCCATAATTTGTATATGTTTGGATAAACGACACTAGTAAATAAGATATCACTATAATAAAATTCTGGAAGTCAAACAAAAATGTTTTTCCTGCTGAACTAATCTGGGCGTGTCACATAGAAATTAACAGTTTATAACCGGTAGATGTTAGGTGAAGCTTTAGTTTATCATATTGGTCAACTGAAAGTCAGGTGGTACATCTGGCACATCTTGCAGATTATCTATTAGGACAGGCAATTAGTTTGCTAACATTGTGTGTCTGACCATAAGCTTACAAAGCAGAATCATATTTGACATTCAAGTTATTCTATCATTGTGCTTTATTCTTTTGGCAGACACAAGCAAAATTTTATTTTCTTGCAATTGCTGTTTACAAAGGATAACTCACTTAAGTATTTATTTCCAAGATGGTAAAAAGTAAAATGTATAAACAATCTGTAAGCACCTAGATCAGAGGTGGGCAAACTATGGCCCGCGGGACCGTCCTGCCCAGCTCCTGAGCTCCTGGCCGGAGAAGCTAGCCCCTGGCCTCTCCCCCGCAGCTACGCTGCTGTGCAGGCAGCACGGCTTGGGCCCGCCCATCTCCCAGGCTCTCCAATAAGCCTGTCCTGCCACTCTGAGCGGCATGGTGAGGGGGGAACAGGAGGTCCTGGGGGGCAGTCGGGGGACAGGGGGCGGTCAGATGGGGCGGAGTTTCGGGGAGGAGGGAGGTCAGGAGACAGGAAGCAGTGGGGGTTGGATGGGGGTGGGGTGTTGGGGAGTCCCGGGAGGCGGGGACAGGGAGCGGGAGGGTGTTGGGTCCTGGGGGGACAGTTAGGGATGGGGGTCCCGGGAGGGGGCGGTCAGGGGATGGTAGATGGGTCGGGGGTCCTGGGGGCCCTGTCAGAGGGCAGAGATGTGGATAGGTGTCGGGGCAGTCAGGGGACGGAGCGGGGGGGTTGGATAGGGGATGGGGTCCCGGGGGGGCGGTCAGGGCAGGGGTCCCCGGAGCGGGCGGTCAGGAGACAAGGTGGGGGGGGGGTGTTGGATGGGTCAGGGGTTCTGAGGGGGGCAGTTAGGGGTGTGAGAAGTGGGAGGGGGTGGATGGGGGTGGGGGCCAGGCTGTTTGCAGAGGCACAGCCTTCCCTACCCAGCACTCCATACCATTTCGCAACCACGATGTGGCCCTCGGGCCACAAAGTTTGCCCACAAAGTTTGTAAGTGCAGGAGACAGAAATTTCTCTGTGACTGGCAAATATATCTAGAATCCAGTACTAGGAAAGATCAGCATGAATATCACTGACAAACCCACTTCTTTTGCTTAGCTTTCTGAAATTAACAGCAAGGGAAAGAAATAACATAGCCTATATGCTGAGAAATACAAATATATTTGAGTACACTTTTTCATAAATTTGGAAGGTGTTCAAATATCATGGTGGTGAATGTGATATGAAAAACGTAGATACATATAACCATAGAGATTTTTATCGTGTTTTAATTTAATATGAAGAAATAGTCCAAACTGCAAACTACAAGAAGGAAGAGAAATGAAGCATGTCAGTGTTAAGGACATGGAGCATTTCTGCCCTAGCACAATAGTCTGCAAAAACAGAAGAAAAAAAGCCAATATAGACATCTCCTGTATTTAAGGTGAATAGCAATGAGACTCTATAGCATGGAATCATGACCCTAGCAGTGATGATTGAAAACAGTGCGAGAAGCTGAAGACATTTGTAAAACTCTGAAACTTCCCGTGGGATAAAAATCCACCTAGAAGTAGAGGACAGCTGAAACAAATTTTGATGTCAGAAAGTCAACCCAGAGCAAGACAATAGAATCAAAAACCCAGAAAAATCCACAACTAGCCATGAAGATCAAGGAGATTGTGCAGTTGGGCGTAGACACAGGGTTAACAATGGAAAAACAGAAATTCAGTTTGTCTTAAAACTGCCCAGGACCAAGAAAAAGAACTTCAGTCAATGCCATGCAAGTTAAAAGCTGAGAAGATATATACAAATGTGAAATGCTTAGAAGCAAATATGGATTAACTAGAATGTCTGGCAAAGGAAAAGAACCTTGTCATAAAACATTTCTGCAACATGTTTGAATGCTCCAAAAATCAATGGGGTATTGTAGTACTGGAGTAGAAACTATATGTAAGAAAGATGTATTAGATTTGCATATGAGGGGGAGTAGCTCTACGCAGTATCTGTAAAATTCCAGAAAAGCTAATGAGATAAAATGTGAGTAGTGAGGATCATACAGTATAGATATAAACCCCAAGTCTTAAGAGTACAACTATGTTGATAAGGTTGTACTACTGGCTTCAGGAAAAAACATACCAGGGCCCTGGATCCTTGTATCAGTCTCTTTGTTTTGAATGGGGAACTGAAGATTAAATGGTTTATTACATAGGAAATCAAAAAGTTGTTATTATGGAGTATTGTATTCAGAGAATTTGGAGGAAGTTGCAAAAGTTCAAGGAATTCATAGAAAACCTAAAATAAAGTCAGTCAGTTACAATATTTATTCAAACTGCCAATTTGAGGGAAACTGTGAGTGTGGGCGGGAAGAAGGTCACCGCGTGGAGGGACACCGGAGCACAAGTGTCAGCTATCCATGCTTCCTTAGTGGACCCCAATTTAATCAACCCAGAGATCCAAGTGACGATTCAACCCTTCAAGTCCAACTCTTTCAATTTGCCTACAGCCAAGTTGCCTGTCCAGTACAAGGGCTGGTCAGGAATGTGGACTTTTGCAGTCTATGATGATTATCCCATCCCCATGCTGTTGGGGGAAGACTTGGCCAATCATGTGAAGCAGGCCAAGAGGGTGGGAATGGTCACCCGCAGCCAGGCTAAACAAGCCGTGAGGCCTAGCTCTGTTCCGGAAACTTCTATCAGGACCCAGTCAGAGGTGATGGACCTGGACCCCAGGCCAATGTCTGCAACAGCAGTAGTGGATCCAGTCCCAGAGACCCAGACGGAACCAGTCCCAGAACCGGAACCAGCCGAACAACCAACACCAGACCCCGTGTCAGCACTGAATCCAGTACTTGCAACCTCAACACCAGAGGGCCCCACCGAACCTGAACTGGCAGCAGCCGATAACCCGACCCAAGAGGCTCAGCCGGAGCCTGAATCCCAACATAGTGCACCAGCGGAGAGCGGTTCACAGTCAACAGAAACAGCTCCATCCCCTATATCGCTTCCAGAGGGACCAAGCCTAGGTCCACAATCCCATGAGGAACTGATGTCTCCAGCATCAAGGGAACAGTTCCAGACCGAACAGGAAGCAGATGAAAGCCTCCAGAGAGCTTGGACGGCGGCACGGAGCAACCCACCGCCTCTCAGCTCTTCTAATCGATCCAGGTTTGTTGTAGAAAGAGGACTTTTATACAAGGAAACTCTTTCTGGTGGACACCAGGAAGACTGGCATCCTCAGAGACAGTTGGTAGTTCCAACTAAATACCGGGCCAAGCTCTTGAGCTTAGCCCATGATCACCCTAGTGGCCATGCTGGGGTGAACAGGACCAAAGACCGTTTGGGGGGGTCATTCCACTGGGAGGGAATGGGCAAGGATGTTTCTACCTATGTCCAGTCTTGTGAGGTGTGCCAAAGAGTGGGAAAACCCCAAGACCAGGTCAAAGCCCCTCTCCAGCCACTCCCCATCATTGAAGTTCCATTTCAGCGAGTAGCTGTGGATATTCTGGGTCCTTTTCCGAAAAAGACACCCAGAGGAAAGCAGTACATACTGACTTTCATGGATTTTGCCACCCGATGGCCGGAAGCAGTAGCTCTAAGCAACACCAGGGCTAAAAGTGTGTGCCAGGCACTAGCAGACATTTTTGCCAGGGTAGGTTGGCCCTCCGACATCCTCACCGATGCAGGGACTAATTTCCTGGCAGGAACTATGAAAAACCTTTGGGAAGCTCATGGGGTAAATCACTTGGTTGCCACTCCTTACCATCATCAAACAAATGGCATGGTGGAGAAGTTTAATGGAACTTTGGGGGCCATGATACGTAAATTCGTAAATGAGCACTCCAATGATTGGGACCTAGTGTTGCA